CCTGGCATCTTTTTACACTCTTGCCACTCAGTTACACCCCTCATTCTGAAATCTATACCGAAACCCCAGTAGATTCTTTTTTTCCCCTGCCAGATATTAAAGAATAACAAACCTCAAGGTTGTGGAGCAGCACCACACTGAGGTCAGTCATTAGACTTCAGTTTTAAATTTAGATTTTTCTAACCAGAAAGTAATACTGTAATTCTACATGAATTCCCCAAAGAGGAACTGCCTGAACCAGTTCTTGTTTAATTAGTCTTGCTTTGATTGTAGTAGATAATAAAGCAGCACAGGTGTTTCTTCACCTGAATCATAGCTTTGAATGAGTTGATACATGAGGGACTCAGGATTATTTAAATTCTAGCTATAGTCCAGCCTGGATTGCTTAAAAGATGGAGCTGACAGAGAGCAGCATCTTCCAAAATACTCTTACCACCACATTATACTAGAAGAAATGCTGTTTTCTTATTATCTTATTCAATGGAAACAAACACCGGCTGTGTGATTATTGGAAAGTGTTTTGCTGCTTGCAGGAGAGAAAACTCTGCCATGAAAAGAAACAACACAATGAGAGGGGGGGAAACAGACTCATACTAGAAGAAATTTTGACACAATTTACATCATACTCACCACCACCCATACCTTGGAGATTACAATGATTTTCAAAATAATTAACAAGATAGTTGCTTCTGCCCATCCTTTGGGAAATTGCTCTCTAAAATCCTATGCATTATAAACTCCACCCTTTCCCCAAAGTATATGAGATCATTATGTCAGTCTTCTGAATAAAAGCAAAGTATATGATGTTCTGTAAGTGTAAATGAAAAATTTCATGAAGAGATTTGCAACTTCTTTACTCTATTGACTTCTACAGTGAGATGTCTTAAGTATTAGCATCCTAGATTCCTATTAACTTCCAGCAAAGTGTTGGTGAGGGTATACAGAGATATTTTTTCCAAAAAACCTTGGAGACTGGTAGCAGAATGCAGCCTGAATCGATAAATGCAGTGGTTTGTTCTTATGTGCTGTTAAATCATCTCCAACTTGTGGTGACCCTATGAATGAATGACCTCCAAAATGTCCTGTCATTAACAACTCTGCTCAGGTAGTGTTAATTGGGTCATAATGAACCGTTTGGTTTCAGGAGCAGAGAATTTTATAAGCGCTAGGCTGGGAAATCCATTTTCCTGTGAGGCTACTCCAGATATTAGGGGTGAGCTGCAGGAGTGCAGAGACCATGCCATCAGCTGGAGGAATGCAAAGTTATACAATGGGAAAACATTTATATTTCTAGATACACATAATATTGGGAACCTGATCATCATGATAAAAGAATACTGCCTGTGCTGCATGAAATATGAATGAGAATCATAATGAAATGGAACAACAGGATGATTTTGTTTTTTAAAAAAGCTTTTTCAGTGTCCATTAGAAGTGTGAATGTGGGACAGTGAAATAGGCCTCCAGGACATGACTTACAGTGGTGCCTCAACTTAACGAATGTCCCGACATACAACCATTTTGAGTTGCGACCAGCTCCGTCCACAAAGTTTTGCTTCAACTTGCGGTCGGAGCTTCGAATTGCAAACAAAAGAGGCAGGGGCGGAAAAGGCGGAGAATTCAAATTAGAGGGCTAACCGTTGGTCGGTGAAGAGCTTCTTTGCAGCTCTTTCGCCCTAATGGTTAGTGTTCACCCATTTGCAGAGAGTCTTTGGACTGCCTGGTGCTCCTAACGGTTAGTGTTCACCTGTTTGCAGAGAGTCTTTGGACTGTCTGGTGCTGCTTTCTGATTCTGGGTGAGTACATTTACAGGGTTTTGCTGGGTTTTGCAGGCCGGGCTTGGGGGGGTTATGCTTCTGCACTGTGATTTTTGAGTTTTGTTTTTGTTTTTGTTTTGTTTGTTTTCCGGGTTTGAGTTTGGGGGGGGTTATGTTTCTGTACTGTGATTTTGGGGTTTTTTGGTTTGGGGTGTTTTTTTTCCAGCCACATCACTTTCCAATGGAGCTGGCTGTGGGGTGTTTTTTAAATTATTTTTCCCCAGCCCCATCGTGTTCCAATGGGGATGGCTGTGGGGGGGGGGTGTTGATTTTTTCCCCCCAGCCCCATCACTTTCCAATGGAGCTGGTTGTGTATGTGTGTGGGGTGTTTTTGATTTTTTTTTCCCAGTGGGGGTGTGAGGGGTTTTTTGGATTTGATTTTTCCCCCCAGCCCCATCGCTTTCCAATGGAGCTGGTTGTGTATATGTAGGGGGTGTTTTTGATTTTTTTCCCCAGTGGGGGTGTGAGGGGTTTTTTGGATTATTTTTCAGTCCCATCACGTTCCAATGGAGCTTGGAGTGGTGTGTGGGGGGTTTTTTTTGTGATTTTTTTTGTCTGGAATAGATTAATCGTGTTCCAATGCATTCCTATGGGAAACGGTGCTTCGATTTAAGGCCATTTTGAGTTACGCCCATCTTCTGGAACAGATTATGGTCGTAAGTCGAGGCACAACTATATTACAGAACTGATCCCGTTATTGATATTTGAGCCAGTGTAATGTAACCGAGTTTTGTATTATAACATGGGTCCAAATTTACACTGAGTGACCTCAGTGAATCATTCTCTCATCCTGACCTATCTCACAAGGGCCATGGTCGGTAAAAGTAATTTGCAGAAGGGGAGAGCTGCATGGGTTCAGCAGATGAAAGCCGGATATAAATGTAGTGTGTTAAATTAAAATAATTGTTTATTCTTATGCCTAATTCATGGAATTATCGTAAATTAAAAGTGGTGATCTTTCCTTAAGAAAGGAGCTCTGTTAGTGAATCTTGGGAATAATGGCTCAGATTGGGACATTTTGGTTGACAAGAAAACCGTCAGACTTGTTGGCTGCTTCCTCATCCTGCTGCTTCATGAGTGACAGGATTCTCTGATAGCTTTCTTTTGTGTCAATCAAGTCACTTTGCCATTTTGTCCAAAAGCACAAAGGGTGGCTTGTGCTTTTATTATTTCTGTTTGTTTAGAAATGAATACCTTCCTTTGCTACTGATAGGTTTGCAACCCTGATTTGAAAAGGAACATAAAGTATAATTGGCCAGTTCTGCAGTTTGTTAGAGGGAAGAGCTCCTAAATGCTACAGTTTTTCAAAGTTTATTCATAGCTTGAAATCACATCTAAACCAAATGAATAAATATAATGCTGTCATGCAATAATCTATATATGCTGTTTGGGTTTGGGTTTTTTTGTGTGGAGGTATTTACACTCCAATATCAACTCTTGGGAGGGATGTGGTAGCGCTGAGGGTTAAACTGCAAAGCCTCTGGGCTGCAAGGTCAAAAGATCAGCAGTTTGAATCCATGCAATGGAGTGAGCTACCGTCGCTTGTCCCAGCTCCTATCTATCTAGCAGTTCGAAAGCATGTAAAAGTGTGAGTAGATAAATAGGTACCACTACGGTGGGAAGGTAACAGCATTCCGTGTCTAACAGTGCTGGCCATGTGACCACGGAAACTGTCTTCGGACAAATGCTGGCTCTATGGCTTGGAAATGGGGATGAGCACCACCCCTTAGACTCAGACACGACTGGACAATTGTCAAGGGGAACCTTTACCTATCAACTCTTAGCTGTATTTTATGTTTTAGATAACATGGCTATTCATTCAATATCATCTAGCAAGTAATATTTGAAACTTTCCTTCTTTCATTTGTTTCTACATACAGGGAAATAGGCTAATGGTTACCACATATAAGGAGCTAAACATGTAATTAAATATGTCTGTCAAGACAGATATGCCCTTAAAATATGAAGAAGAAATGAGTTATTGGGGGAGTTAATGCTCCTGTTAATTATCCAAATTGTTATTCCTTTTTATAATCCTCATATATTTGCCCTGGAAGAATCTAAATATCAAAAGACACTTTAGACACCGATGGTGAAGGTGGACTTTCCATATTATTTGATTACTGCTACAAGTTATTTATTAGCGTATGATATGCAATCAGAAATACAAGTATTTCATGCCTGCCTATGTACTGATACATAGATGCATACATTCTGTGACAAACATACAGAAATCCCTATTCAAATGTGCATCTTTTCCTAGTATTAACTTGGTTGTGGCTACAACATTGTGCTATGTATAATCTGTTATATATAAAACAATTAGACATCATTTTGAGTTACGGCTTACTGTCATTTCCATTACATTGCAGTTGGCTGGCTGTCAGCTGCTGGCATTACACAATTGGCTTGTATAAAACAGGAGTGGACCTCTCTTTATTTGTACTCTGTGACTGTAGCACATGCAGCTGAACAGAGCAGGAAAACAGAGATCCTTTCCCTTCAATAATTCTTGCTTGTACACAGTCACTGGTTTTTGCCTCTCCTTTCTGGTATGCATCTTAGGGAATTCTTTTTCTTGGGTTTATATTATCCTTCGGAGACTGGTTCCTGAAAATGCAGAAGACTAGAAATCCCAGATACCCAAGACTGAAATGACATATGGACTGTAGATCCCAAGAGCTTGTTTTGCCAGGAATTAAACATACAGTTAATTGATAAAAACACACGTGCATATATTGATGGAATAAAAACCTGTTACTCAGCAAGAAGTTGTTGGAAGAACAAAGGAAGAAAATTGGTTTCTATTCTGGCGTGGATATTACTGACACTTATTTAAAGGATTGGATTATCACTGTGGCAGAGAAAACAGCAAACAAGGTACTGCAAAAAGGAAGTGGAAGCCTACATCTGTATACCAGATTAATTAAACCCTTCTTTGTCTGTAATGGGGCAATGGATGTTTTCATTAGCTGAAGATGCATGTCATCCTTTTAGAATGTCATGTTCTTCTGAACGGGGAAATGATATTTCTACTGCATTTGCATTTAAGCAGCATACATGACTTAATAGTTGGTACTAAAAGATCATTCTCACTGTAAATTGTTGTGCATGAGTTTCAGAGCCACTTGTATAATCTTCCATAACTGCTTCTTCCTTTTTCTCTCCCGTCTACTAACTTAGTTCACAGGATGCTGGAATTGGGTTTATACTGGTCATAGACCGCAGGCAAGACAAATGGAGCTCCGTTCAAGCTTCTATACTTCGAATTGCGGTGAGCTGTTATATAATTAAGACTTCTGAATCCCATGTGATAAACTGCATCAGAAAGCTTTTTTAAAAATGTTGTTTTCCAAAGTGCTTAGTCTTTTTTTGTTATCAAGAAGCCTTATATAATAATTGTTGGCTGCCAATTTTAACAACAGTATATAGCATGTGCAATGATTATTCCAAGTGCTGCAGATGGTATAGTGACCACAGAAGCTGAAATAATCTGTGATAATACAGTGATAAAATCATGCACACTAAATCTGGCATTTATAGAAGCTTCTACGTTATAATTCTGGGATCCAGGGAATCTAATCTTTTTAAGGTTGTATTAATTTGAAGGGGCTGGGCTTCAGCTCTACCAGATAACCTTAACTGAGCATGGAGATGAACCTGAGCAGATATATTTGGCTATATATCCACTGGATCACTTGCTTCTGACTATTTATCTTTGTAAAAAAAAATTAGCAGGTTTTAGTTAAAACATGACTGATATTTTCCCAAAATTTTTTAAAAAATCTTCTTAAGGGACTAATTTTGGTTATCTATTAGTATAGGCTAATTAGCATGGGTTTTATACTGAGTAAAACATAACATTAGCAGAATGGTGAGTGTTATTTTTATTTCATTGCATAAAATGGAGAGACTGGCCTAAAAAGTAATAATAACAATCTTCAAGGCTTCTCATGTTTCACAACAATCTGGGAGGTGCCCGTTTTAAATAAAGAGTCTATTGCTCATTGAACAGAAATTTTAAGTTGCCAGATATTGGTATTAGAACATATTTTTTTTGTTTTTCTATTTGCAGAAAGAAGTTGTTTCTAGGACTAATAATCTAGATATACTGTCAGCAATAAAAAGTCTTTATTTAATTGTCTGAGGAAAATTCCAAATCTGGGTGATTTTAAATAGAGATCGGTCTCCTAGAGCAGGGGTCATCAACCCCTGGTCTGCGGCCCAGTACCGGTCTGTGGGCTTGCCGGAATTGGGCCGTGGATACGGATCTCCACCTCCCCCCGCACACATGCACAGGGGGGCGTCGCTCACGGGGGGCATGTCACATGTGGGAGGCGTGTTGCACTCACGACAACCCCTGCATGAGTGTGACATGCTCGCGTGGGGGGTGCCCCCGGCGCCACCACGCATGAACCTCGCTCCCCCCAGCCAGTCTGCGGCCCCAGAAAGGTTGGGGACCACTGCCCTAGAGTAAGGAAATACTGGTTTCTTGTTCTTTTTTGTGCTATAAGAAAATTAAGGTACATTGCAAAATTACCCCATGTTTTATCTAGTAGTACTGTGAAGAAAAACATGTATATTCAGTCTGGAGGTTTATAACGCTGAAAAATAAGTGGTATTTGAGTTTGCAAGCTGTGCAGTATATTGGCCTGGTTGAGCTACCACTTTCTACACCTCCCTTTCCTGGCTTGCATTTGCTGGGGAGACAGACAGCACAGTGTATTTGACCATATTGTGTTACATTCTCCTCCCAGGATCCAATCACAGTCAGTAACACCACCTAGTTTGCCAGGCTTTGGTGCAACTGAACAAAGAGAGAGAGAGGTTGCCTTGCTCTTAGCATTGTTTCAGTTGCTCAGGTGATGCCATGCTTACCTCATTTCCTGGTTGGCAAGGATTGGCCAATGCCGTGGCCACGTTACAGTGAGCCAGAACCTACCTTATACCCAGAGGTAAGCAACTTTGCACAAGTCCAAGGGCTGCCCGTGCTTTCCCTGCACTTTTGAGGGCTACATCTTCATTCCCCTCCCACATTTTTCTTACCCCCTTCCCCCCAAAAAAGCTCCTATATACCTTCCATTGCATGCAGGAAATAATTCTACCATTTTAGCTGCTCCTCAGCAGCTTTAGATCAACCCAAACTATTAGGGAAATGTTCAATAAATGTGATGTAAATATCCTCTCCGTCCCCTAGAGAATACAAGGGGACAATCTAAACAATTTTTATGAACTATTTTTCCAAAAAAAAATCATTAGAAACATCACCACCACCCCACTTGTGGATGCAGCTGAGTGGCAGGAAGGAAGAGGAGAGGTTCAATGGCAGCAACAGCCAAAGTTGGTGACTATGAAGATGCTGCCCCACCCTGCAGGCCACCAAAGGAATTGGGAGAGGGGAACGTAGCTGCTGTGGCCCCAGGAGGTTCTTTGCTGCTATCTTCCCAACATGGTTAACTTTCTGCTAAACGTAGCTGATGTGGCCCCAGGAGGTTCTTTGCTGCTCTCTCCTATCTTCCCAACATGGTTAACTTTCTGCTGCCTATATTCCTAATTCCACACCACAGTCAATATTTTTGGCTAACTGGCTAAGAGGTACCTGCACTGTGGAAGTATTGTAAAAAAGCAAGAGCTTTCTGGTGGCGCTTGCGTAGCTCATGTGACTGTCAATGGTTTTTGATTTTGCTGCCAACAATGCTCCAAGGCGTTACCAGGGCTAATGAGAAGGCCAGGGCCAGTGTTCTCCAACCCACAAATCTGATGTGTCAAAACCATAATCATATGCCTGGAACTATTTGAAATAGCTGAAGTCCATTGGCAGATATAGTAACATTACATAAGATGTCAAGCTAAGCTGCACCATGCTACTGCTGTTCCTTTTAATGCTTACTTGGATCTTAGATGGAATGCTACATCAATTTGTGATATAACAAATCTTAGACAATTTAGATAAGAGCAATAAAGCTGGCGAAGTACAGGCCATTTGAGGTCATGTAGAAGGGAGAAGAGCCTTGCTACAGCCAGCATACATAAATATTGCAATAGAAAGAATGAGATTGTGTATAAATATTTTCATGGTACTGGCACTGTTCTAGCTGAGGAATTGGACATAACCTTGGGCCTAACTATGGCCCATTTTACCATGTGTTGGGCTATGAATGTGTCCGTATATGATTTTCCTCTGAAATAGTTAATTGGCCTAAGGGTAAGAACAGATACTTCAGTTTAACATATCATTGGAAAATGAGAGCACCTAAGTGTTTTAGGCATGCTTCTGATAGCAAATTCTCTCTAACATCTGGTTCTGTACTGAGTTTTTGATTTAAGGCATGCTGAAAACTGAAACCCAGTGATGTGGGTTCACTAAACAAGCTTGCTGTCATAACCAGCTTTTCTCTCAAAACCAGGTCTCATAACGACTATGTTGTTATGTGCCGTCAAGTCATTTCCGACTTAGGGTTGACCCTATGAATGCTCTCCAAAATATCCTGCCCTCAATAGCCCTGCTCAGCTCTTGTAGGTAGATTCAAGCCTGTGGCTTCCTTTAGAGAGTCAGTCCATCTTATATTTGGTCTTCCTCTTTTCTTCCTGTGTTCTGCCTTTCTCATCATTATTGTTCCCCACCCCCCCGATAATCCTGCCTTCTCATGATATGTCCAAAGTAGGACAGTTTCAGTTTCGACACCTTTGCCTCCGGAGATAGTTCAGGCTTGATTTGCTCTAGGACCCACTTATTTGTCTTTCTGACAGTCCATGGTACCCGCAAAGCTCTCCTCCAGCACATTTCAAACCAAACCTTTTTTTTTCCTGGTGACTGAAATAATCCAAAATATCATTTACTGACTATGCAAGCCTATCAAATGCATACCAGTAAAACATGTTCTCCCTAAAGTGCTCTCAGATGGGAACAGAGCTCAGGGAAGCATCAGCTTTGAGCCACCTATCTTAAACCCTCGACACCTGTGAGCCCCAAAGGAAAAGAAGGAGGGAGACAGTATTTGGCTTTTAAACATACCAAGCTAAGCTGGGGAGGGGCCATTCTTATGATGCCAGCCATTTTCCTCAAATTTCAACATTCATCCCAGTAGTTCACGCCAAGCATCCCTGCCCCCTTTTGTATGTATCTCGTAAGTATCTCTAAGTGTACGATCACTCTCCTCTCCTCTGCTTGGGAAGGAAGGGTGAATGTCCCCCTTCTCTTTTATAACATTTAGTCAGGCAGATGCCATGTGCTGCAAAGGGCATACTGCCAAGGCTCCATCCTTGTCCATTCCCTCTAGGCTAGGAATCCATGTGACTAGGATGCTGGGAGAGAGAGAGAAAAAGATAAAAGGATATTGTGAGGCAGTGCCCACAAGGGGTACCACTGACACAGACCTTGGGTCCTCCTGCACATCCCACCATCACTTGCCCAGCACAGTCTCCTGTGACGATTTAAGAGCTGACCAGCCCTGCATTTTGATCTCACTAAAGTTCAGTTCTAATGAAGCCACCATGCCTTCTCCATACAGAAGGGAATGCATAACAGACGGCAGGAGAATTGTTCAGTCTTCTTATCTGTCCCCTGCGCAGTGTCTCTTTGCCTTGGGAGATGGGAGGTGCAATATGACCAGTCGTCCTTTACTGTAGCACTCTGTTTCCCCCCCCCCCAGGAGCATGCACAAGGCAACAGTTTGCTTGTTCCTTCTGAACTCTGTGATGATTGTAGAGTACTTGTGAGCAATTTCAGTGCCTCACAAGTAGCAATTTACCATGTCTGGGGCCTACTGGGAGCCACACCAGCCCCCACCCCTCCCCTGAGTGTGTATCAGAATTAAATAAAAATCTTCTTCTCCTTCCTTCTCTGACAGACAAACTGGACAAAATTCATTCTGGCATCCATGATGTTTATGTATCCTATCATGTAAATGAAAATTTGAAGTCATGATGAACCACAGAAATATGTAACAGAAGGAAAAGCAAAAACATTCTATTTTATTGTATTGGGAAAGTTACTAAAAAAATTAAAACAAACTGCATCACAGTGATGTTTGCGTAAGGTTAGCATAACTTGTCATGGCTAATTATAGCTAACTAAAAAGATGCCAGGGCACAGTGTGTGGCCAGGTAGGTACGTGTGTAGTACCACATAAATTAGCCACAATTAGCTTTAGCAAGCCACTTAAACCTCCAGTAGAATTCTAATATTAATTATATTATTTTCCTAAAGGTTATACAATATGTTTTCACATATTGTCAGTGTGCTCCTTGTTTACAAGTACTGTATCAGTAAAAGTAAAAAAAAAATGCTGTTATTGGGTTCCTTCAGATGTCAAGGGAAGCAAGGGCTCAGTGGGAAACCTGACCTCTTGAGGACAAGCAAGCATTCTGGCTCCTGCTTTTCAGGTCCTGTGGCTAAGCAAACCAGAAATGCCAATGTGTGATGTGTTTTCTTGTAAGATCAGTACAGTACCGCTGCTACGAACCTTGAAACATAGTTATAACAAGTTGTGGATTCTTTCTCTGGCTTGTTAGAAACAAGCCAAAGAGCTGGCTGCTGCTGCTGCATTCAGAAATCACAAGAAACAAACTGTGGACTAAAGGTCTGTTATTTGTTTCGCCACTCCACTTGAAAATCAAAACAGCTGGAACTGGAAATGAGCATTTTTGTTCATCCACAGTCCCAGCTTGGCATGGTGTGCAAACCTAGCCGTGAAATAATAGCTTGATTTGGATTTTGCACCTTGTTAAAATTAAGGAAACTTAGCAGTTCTTTGGTGATCTGAAGTTTGTGATTGATTGGATCATGACCCAGGCTTGGAAATCATAACGAGAACTGAAGTGGTTTTACAAACCATGGTTTGTGCCAGCTGTGGTTTGATGTGATGTTTAAAGTGACAAGCTGTAATTTCAACCATTTCTTATGCCCTATAGAAGACTAAAGAATATAAGCAGCTATAAGCCATTAATAAGCTATATATTTAGAAGCTATATTTTGGTTCTAATCTATGATTAGTGCATACTCTTTATTGGTGTCACACTTTTTGATCCAAGAATGTGAAGAATGTGAACATTTTTAGATGACGTTGGTTTTTAATGAATTACTGATAACTGTTTCTAAACAGTTCAGTATATTGATTAATTTTAGTATGACAGGCCTATTTGATTATATTTGCAGGCATCGTTTCCAGGAAACTTGCAGCTAGTTCTGCTGTTGCGTCCAACAGCATTCTTACAAAGAACTCTGTTTGACTTTGCATTCAGATTCAATAAAGATGAGTATAAGATGAAGCTACCGGTTAGTGCTTTGTTTATTTTCTTAAATTCATGATCTGTGACTTTCTTTAGGCAAAATACCAAACATACTAGAACAATAAGAAGTCATTCTTAATTTTAATATTGTGCTTCTCAGTACACGTTTCCTGCATGTGTAATGTTTGTATTTTAACATGAGTAGTAAATGAATTGGTATTTTCAGCCAAGCATTTGCTTTAAAATATGTAATGATGCATACGTATTTTAAAGTACAGAGTTATCACTTTTGAAATTAGATGCTTGATAGCAAATAATGTGTTGTCAGAACACAAAAACTGAAAAGCATACTCTATAAGTGATTAATTATAAAATGGTAAATTACTGCAGTGGACCCATTACCACATAGAGTTAGCTTTCTGTGCACTAGACACATAAAGGGAATGCATCATTTTAATTTTTGAAAAGTTGTGAATCAATGATTAAAATCATTCTTGCCATTGAATTCTTGCTATAACTCCCATTATGTTTGCATGTCATTGTGGCAGGTTACTATTGCAAAATAGGACATCCATATCCATCCATTGCTATTCATTTTCTCACCCTGACAAAATTTATATCTTGAGTAATCCTTGGGCTCTTTTTCTTACCCTTTAAAATGTGTCTACATTCATCTGTGGTCACTGACCTTCACTACAGCCGAAATACATTGTCATTGGTTCTAGGGATTGCTGGGAGATCTCTCCCTGTTTGATGGCCCATCAGATTCAATTAAATACAAAATGAATATTTCCTTACATGAAACAAGGTGGTTACATCCATGCATAGCTTTGAACATGTAAATTAAAAGCAGCTTATTTTCAAAGGCACTCTTTCAAAATGTGGATTTAAGTGTAATTCTTAAGATAAATATTTTCTGTTTTTTGTTCCTGCCTCATGTTTGCTGGTTTTTAAATGTTTTTCTTTGATGTTTAAAAAGTTTTTTGACTTAAATTTTTACAATCATCTGCACAATATGTATGGCTTTAAAGAGCACTTAAAAAACCCATTTGTAAACCAAATTTGACTTTGGTCTGACTTTTTTTGCCCATAGGAACACATTAATTAGTTTTCAATGCATTCCTATGGGAAAACGCGTTTCGCAAGACGAATTTTTCGCAAGACATCATTAACCGTGGAACAAATTAAATTCATCTTGCGAGGCACCACTGTAATATTAAAAGAGAAATTAATACATTTGCATATTAAATGACCATGTAATTAAAACCACTGTAAAACCACTTTAAAAAGTAATTGGGAAAAGTTTTTAAAAGCATAACACCAACCATTTATTCTGTGAACTGAGTAGAATGTCATAGACATTTCACCTTAAAAGTGAAAACAATAAAATGCAAGACCAGCCTCTCTGGAGAGCAGTATTTGAGACTCACCACAGTTAAAATGCTCTCTCACAGTCCACAGGTCACCAGCCTCCTCATCACTGAACACTGGGATGAGAGAGATTCACAGATAAGCAAGGCAGTTGGGCATTTTCACATGAACATTAGGGGCTGTGCCTGTATAAGGAACTGGAACAGTCTTGGGGACATATGAATTGCTGGCATTCATCAGAACATAGTCCTTAAATGATGCCTGTAGCAAGTTTTAATCACTGTGGGGCAGTATATAAGCAGCTCCTACCCAAGGTCATCAGGGCTCCCCTCTGTCTTTGGTTGCTCCTCGATAAAAATACCAAAATAGTACAAAATATCCATTGTCAGCCCCTCATAAACCATAAATGTCATATATTGTAATACATCATACTGAATATTTGGTGGAAATAATCTAAAAACGAGCAAAGTGCCCCATATATACTGCTTCACAGTATTTGAAGCACCCTCTAAGCAGTTTACAATTTAATTTTGCAGGCTACACATTGCCACCCCAGTGAGCTAAGGATTCTATTTACTGACCTTGGAAGGATGGAAAGCTAAGTCAATCTTGAGCCTGCCAGGATCAGACTCAAGTTGTGAGCAGAGTCTTGACTGCAGTACTACAGTTTAACCGCGGTGCCACAAGGCTCCACATAATCTATTATATGAGTTGCTGTGAAGGCACTCTGATTTATCTGTATAGATACCATGGTTATGCCTTCTTAGTTATTTTGTATTCTGCTACCATATACAAAATGAAACATCCTTTTATGTGGTAAATTAGAGCCTGATTGAAATGTCATGAGTACAAATTGCAGAACTTGGCAAAGTCAAAATCCTAAAAGAACCTTGATTTTTATCTTTTTATACTATTGCTTCTGTGTTGTAGATCATAATGCTGAGCTCACTAGCTGAGTTAAATAGCTACATTGACAGAACACAACTAACAGAGGATCTTGGGGGAACTCTGGATTACTGCCACAACAGGTGGCTGACACATCGAACTGTGAGTAATTGGCCCCCATAACTGCTTATATCAATAGGACTGTTTGTTACATACCCTGTTGCTAATGGCATTGGCTTATAAATGCAACTTGAAATAGCATATATGAGGAATATCCTAGAGGAATTTTAGTTCCAACACTGTACTCATGAAACATCATGAGTAATGAAATTGGGAGTGGTGATTTCAGAGTTTGGAAATGTACAGTATATATGTACAGCATAAAAACGAACCCTTTTTGTGAACTGTTCCCAGAGATGGAGCATGAAACAACACACAGAAATAAAGTTTTAACTCATAAGTTTTTGTTTTAAAAAGCCCAATGAGAGTCCGGGAAAAAAATATACAGTTAAGAATCTGATGCTATTTACAAATTTTAACATTTGCTTTGAAGTTGGATTTTCAATTCTTGTATTTTTAAAAGTATTAATTCTTCTTTACGCATGTGCCGACATCTATTCAAATGTTGTTTGACTCTTGTGATGCCTTTTTTAATCCTAAAGGCTATAGAGAGCTTTGCTTGCAAGGTTAAACAGACCGCCCAGACCCTTCGTTCTTTTGGAGCTGAACTAGCAGAAACGGAGCTTCCCAATGATGTGCCGTCCACTGTGTCTCTCCTTACAGCACATATTGAAAGCAAAGTCAAAATGAAGGTATGCCAGTTGTGCAGTGTGTACAACTCCTTTAATTAGTGAGATGTAAGATCATTTTATTGAGTAAGGTAATGAAGACTACTTTTGCTTACTCCTTTGCTTTGAAGACATGATCTCTTTTAAATGCAATGGGGCCATTAAGACTCTGTTGCAGTGTCTCCTCAACATACAATGCCAGCAGCTGCCGCGATTGTCCTCCATTCAGGTATCCTCAAGAGCATTTCCCCTTCTGTCTTAAAATAGAATAGTAACTAAAAGAGGGTTGCAAGCTTAAAATAATTTATTTGTATTGTCTGAAATCCAGTCATAACTTACAACTAGACTGGTTCCATTGAATCAATGGAAACTATGGACCAGTTGACTCACCAGATCCCCACTGATTCAATGAACCTACTCTAACTGTGACTTAGTAGTGGATTTCAGATACTAAATAATGTCTGACTCCCTTCCCCTATCTTCAAAAATCTATAATGCCAAATGCAATATTTTTTATATGTTTGTTTCATTTCTGTGCTTCCTGAAAGTCATGTAAATTGTACTTTTGAGGAAGAAATTGGACAGAGAAATTCTTTACAGGATGTGATGAATGGTCGCAGATTTTCGTGTCTTTGCTGAAAAAGGAAGTTAACTCCATTGAATAAATAACAACCACTATGAGATTTTTCACTCGCACTCAAGAACAAAATGGCCAGCACTTCTTTTCATCAATAGAAACATTACCAAAAAATGAAGGACTTTGCACAAAAAATCTTATATTTCGCCCCCCCCAAAAAAACTTTTTGTGGCAACATACATGTATTTTACATAGACTGCAAAAGTTTTGAGTAAAAAATGCACAAACATTCCTCTAATCTTCCCCGGCAGGGACAGGATTTTTGCAATAGGTTGTTCTTTCTTGTTACCACAAAATAAACTCTAACCTGTCCCATTGTATGAAGTATTTATTGGGAAAACTTATCTAAGGAATCTCTCTCTTTAAGGTGACAGCAACTCTTTGAAAATCAAATTTTTCATTCAGTTTGTCATAACTAGAAAAAGTAGATTTTGACTTTAAACAATATTTCATTGTTTCAGATACCAAGTTACTGCAGACTTCTAAGCAATTCTACTAAAACACATTATGCTTGTTAGATATTATGCTTCTAAGAAATGTATTGTTGGTTACTTCAATGCTCGAGCATTTTCCTTTTCAGCATTTTTTAATTGAATGAACCCTCTCTCAAAGGCTACCAGCGAGTGGACAGTGAGGTTTAAGGGGCTTTCATCCAATACCTAAATCCTAAGTACAGTAGTACACACCATTTTAGCTATGAATTTAATATGAGATGCTGGTTGAGCATTAAGGACCACATACAGATGTATACATGTTCACACATACCCCAGCCATCTTACTTCCTTATTGGGAAGACACAAAGATACTTCTCTCTCCATACAGCAGATGTGCTCACATTCACCAGCAAAAGAGGGAGTGATTTATAAATGCCAGTCCACAGGAGAGGGCAGAAAGAAAAACCCCTATTCCTTTCTCTAGGAGTCCTCAAACAGATTGCTATTACTCACTAGAATATGTATAAAGGTCTCTTGAGACCCCTTCTCTCCATCTGCTGCCTTACTGACCTTGGGACACACTACTCTTTTCCTTATAAAGTGATGTGAAAGTTGATGTGGGCGGACAAGGAGGTTTGGACACCCATGGGGTGCATTCAGTGTCTTGTAGGATCATATGTGTGTTGTGTGCATGCCTTTTAGTGAGATGGTTTTCCAGTCATTGAGAAAACAATTTTCTAGACTACTTTTCTCTGCTCTCATTTTTTTTTTAAAAAAAATGGTACAGTCTTTCTGACCTGAATTGTATGTATGAAGCACAGCTCAAAGTGGCCTTCTAATTTGTCCACAGGAGGATCTAAGGATATCATTAAGGCAAGGCCGTGATATTCTCCACAGTATTAGGAAACCAGTTCTTGAAAACCCAGAGTCTAAGCTGAATCCAGATCAAATGGAAAATCAAAATACTGTTGAAAGGTGAAGTAAATCTATTGTTCACTACATAATATTTCTTGTCTACAGTTTCTAAAATTGCCTGTGTCTGTTGCATGCCCATTCTTCTCTAAACAACAGTCTTGTGTACAACTAAAAGGGGAGATGTTGCATGCCCATGGGGGTGGGGAGGCTGGGGTGTTAAAGCCTGAAAAAGGATCCCATAGCAAGATGACGGTTTTCATCCAGTCAGCCATGTTGTTTCTGCTGAACAGAGCAAACAACAAGCAGTTTACAGCTGTTTCACAGACTCAAAAATAAGGTTTGTGGCTGTGTGGCATCTTGAAAACAGTGAGCTGTCTGGCAGATTAAAAGGATGCTGACCCAGGAACTATACCAGTATTTTCACTGGATTGTTAGTGGGATCTCAGAATCTTACCAGTGCAACTTGTCTTGCAAAGGGGATCCTAGGCTTCATCCATCAGGCAGGATTGACATCGCCTGAAAAACTTTACTAAAAAGCTTACCCTACAAGCTGGTATCCACATCCAAAGTGACAATTCCAGTCATAGATGGCAAACCAAGAGCAGGTTTGTGTTTCTCAAAAGTGAAGCTAAGGAAGCTGCTCTTAGCATCCATAGACAACTTGGTTTTCTCTCTCTGTTCTGCTTCAAGATTGTCCAAAATAAGGGGACACTAACTTTTTTTGGAACCAGTGGGAATGTCTGTATTTTGGGATAGAACCATGGGCACACCACCAAAAACAAACAAACCATGGAGTGGGAGGCTGCATAGACATAATGTAGTTTCTCATGATATGCAAGATAACTGTGAAATACTTATTTCCACAAGGAGGGAATGTGTGGTGATTTTTAAAACACATCTTAACTAAGAATAAGAATCCAAACAGGATAGGAGAAGTATTGAGTCTCAGATGTAAACCCCATTCATTCATCTTCTCTAGTCCGGTTCCTTTAGCCCTCCTCCCCAGTCACTCTGCTAAACCCATTCCCACTCCACCAGCCTGTAAAGACTTTCCCCCGAAATTAACAGGCAGGAGGCAGGCAGACAAGCAAGCAAGCAAGAGGATTATCCCCTATATCAGTGATTGCGAACCTATGGCACACGTGCCACAGTTGGCACACAGAGCCCTCTCTGTTGGCACATGAGCCATAAGTCGCCATAGAGAAATACTTACCCGTCCTCCAAATCTGGATTTCAGCCCTCCCCTCTGCTGGTGCAGTGATCTAGCGGAGGGGTGCAATGGTGACCATTACCGGTCTAGCCCAATAGGGGATCGGAGGACCAGTAAGTATTTATTTGTTAATACTGCCCACAGAGAGGGGGGGGGGAGACAAGCTTTTAACCCTTGCAGTACAGCAGTTGTTTTTTCCGAACTAAAACTTCAGCATTCAGCTTTTAATTGCAGTATTGTCACTTTGAAATAAATAAGTTGATTTTGTGTTGCAGTTCGGGCACTTGGGCTCAAAAAAGCTGCACCATCACTGCACTAGGCACTCAGAGGCAGCCACTGCCCACAAGCAGCAGATTTTGCAGTACCAGTGTATTTTTGCCATCTATCCATGCCATAAATCCACATGGATTTTAAAGTACACTCATCTCCAAATCATTTTCCATCTCCATTTCCTTGGTTGTGGCACCGGCTGTGAGGGTTCAGTTTTCGGGGCTGTTTGTTCTCCAAATAAAGGACGAGTCGGTTGAGGTAAATCAAAGGGTTCTGTATTTATTGCAACATCAACTCCAACAGGGTTCACTCCTAAAAAGGGGTTCAGCGATTCTTGCAACATGTTACTTGGTTTCAATGGGGTCCATAAACTATTTACAAAAGGGTTGGTTGTCTCTGGGTTCCAAGGTCCTGTTAATAACGGCACAGTCCCCTGCCCA